TTTCTCCCTCCTCTGTTTCAGTGCAGTATACATTATTGAACCCATCTTACTCAGTCTCTCCCCAACCCCAAGGACAGTCCCATTCTACAACAGTGGCGTCATGTAATATTTGTCCTTTTGTGACTGGGATATTTCACTCATTTGGCCAAGCTCTCTTGGGCTACACCCCCCTTTCTTTTTTATTTAAAAAAAAAAGGCCTTTGCACAAGATAATTTGCTTATATAGTTATTTGCTCATGAACATTAGGTTGTTTATTTTCCCTCCTCCCTTCACCCACCAAACTCTTCAATTCCATGATTTCTCGCCTGCTTACCCTCAACTCCCTGTTCCCATCCCTTTCCTCTTTAAATATCCATACACGTATTACTAGTTATCCTTCTTTTTTCAATAACGGTCTTCTACAGTATTCGTCTTTATGGGCCTGAGTTAGTTTGTTCGGCATAATGCTCTCTAGTCTCTTTCATGTTAAAGAATATTTTTCAAATTTTTTGCCCTTGAGTGCTGCATAGTATTGTATCATGTGAGATTTTTATCTCACCTGGCAAAAGGCTCCTGGAGGGAGCTTTCTTTTTTATTTATTGGGAAAACCCCCACATCTTTAGGAGAAAGTGATAGTGTGGCGAAGGAAATAGTTCATGCTTCTGTTAAGTGATCAGCTTGATTTTAATGACTTTAAAAAAAACAACCAACACCCCAAGTCTATTGTCTATTTTCAATTTTATTGTGGTAAAATACAGGGAACAAAAATTTACTGTTTTAACCACTATCCATTTCCAAAAGTTATTCAACACCCCAAAGAGAAGCTTAGTATTCTGTAAGCAATAATTCCTAGTTTTTTCCTCTGCCCAGCCGGTGACAACTGCTGATAACTTTTTGTCTCTGCCTTTCCCAAATTTCACAAAGGTTAGTGACATAGTCTTTTAAAGGTGAGGTTAAAGAAGACCCAAGCAGGCAGGTCTGTGGCCCGTCATTTACCTCTTTGTCTCAGGGTTCAGACCACAGCTGGTCACCTGCCACATGCTGCTGTTTTGCAGAGGGACTGAGCTGCATGAATAAGGATCATGGCTGTGGTCACATCTGCAAGGAGGCCCCAAGGGGCGGCGTCGCCTGTGAGTGCAGGCCTGGTTTTGAGCTGGCCAAGAACCAGAGAGACTGCATCTGTAAGTATGGACTGATGCATGCTGTGCTGGGGGTACATCATGCCTCAGAAGTGGTTCTTCTGCTGACCCAGCTACGGAAGTGCCACCAGTGTGGCACGGCAGCACCAGGGACGGCAGCTGGCAGAGATGCTCACCTCCACTCGGCACTCAGTTCACTTCAGGAGTCGAATGCTCAGTCATTGACACATGCACACACTCATTCACTCTTTGTAGGGAGTTGGGCTCCAACTCCTAGCTGACTGTCCGTGTCTGAAGCTGTGACTTTCATGGGAGGTAATTGTCCATCTTTCTTCTGCAGAGCCACTGATAGATTCCAGCTACCAGAGAGGTGTGGTCTGTGGGCTATCAGCATAATTCCCCACAGACTGTACCACCAGAGCTCCCTAGGGGGAACACAGGGAAGGGAAATTTTGTTCTTTTAAGGAGTTGATCAGAAGAAAATGAAATTCCAGAGTAAATACTCTGAAATGCAGGAGCTTGGGCTCCCTGTTTCCACAAAATAACATCAGATTTCTTGTCTCAGTAGCTCTTTGCTTTCTGGTTCCTACATCTCTTATAAGCCTTATCTTTCTTTCCCCATCAGCACCTCCTCGACTTCTGAAGAACAGCTCTTATTCTTTCATGCCTTTACACCAGTTCCTAAGCCTTTCTTCCTCTCAGCTTGGTGAATTGTTACTCTACCTTTAACACCCTGCTTAATTTCTAACAATAAGTTATACCCTCCCTTACCCTCATTTCCCTCAAGTCAGAACAAACCCATAACTGACCCTCTAGTGAATCTTCAGTAAATTCCATGGGAGATTACCCATCTTCCTCCTGAAAAGCAATGGATTCAGATTGGCAATGCAACTCCTTACCCACTAGGCCACCAGAGCTTCCTACACCATTTCTTGGGATATGTATTGTGTACAAAGGACTTGTCTTAAGCATGTGCCTTCTCCTGCTTAATTCTTACAACTACCATCCTATAAGCTACTGGTATATTCCTTTTTTAGTTTGAAAATATTGTGGAAAAGTTAAAGCAACAAGTAAAAGAAGTTTACTGTTAAGTTAGGATTCAAGCCTACCTCTACCTAGTTCTAAACTTGTGCTCTTATCACCTTGTGGCTCTAAGGGGGGAAGATGGGGAGTCTCCTTTTGTGTGGTTACAGCCTCCTGAAAACACAGTGGAGGGTCAGCTCTGAGTAGGTTCTGATTAGGCAGCAATGAGCTGGGGGACTTTTTAGACCATAGATGGTAAGGGGTGAAATACCATTTCTGCAATGAGACTTAATTTCATTGGCCCCATTACAAAAAAAAAAAGTCAGGGCTGGCACACAATCACTCTCAGACAATGGGCAGATTCTGATAGACCTTACTGTTAGCTGCTGTCAAATCTGCCTCCACTCATGCAGGCTCCATCATGGTGATGCACAGGCTTTTCATCTGATGACTTTTAGAAGTAGATCTCGGGCATTTCCTTCTAGTTCATCTAAGTCTGGAAGCTCTGGAAATCTGTTCAGTACCAAAGCAACATGCAAACCTACACTATCAAATGGTTTTCATGTGAAGTAGATTGATCAGGAATTGAATTTGGGTCTTCCTCATAGGAGTTGAGAACTGAAGCTTCACCTCTTTGCTTCTAAGGAGCACTCTGGTTGCACTTTTTTTAGAATTTTAATTTTTTTATTTAGTGTATAGAGTCTTAATTTATGATTACCCTAATTTTTAACTAATCTACATGGAAATCAATTAGAGAAATCCTAAATATATGTACAAATCAAGGTATCTTGAAAGTATAATGATTAAAACCCTCAACAGCTGATCAAAAGGTTTGAAATTCAAACCACAAGTTGCTTCTTTGGAGAAAGATACAGCAGTCAGCTTCCCTGAAGATTACAGCCTTGAAAACCCCATGGGGCAGTTCTGCTCTGTCCTGTGGGTTCTTTATGAGTTGGGAATCAACTCTACAGTAATTACAGCCAATTATGTACAAATTAAATATTGTCTGTTTAAAGTGCTATTGCATTTCCCAAAGTCCCAGTAGAACTGTCTGGATATGCAAATGTCTCTAGCAAGAGCAAAGGACTAATCTAGATTCTTAAATAGTGAAAATCTCCCTCTACTCTCCCATTTTCATCTTATTAGATGGCTTTGTTCAAACCTGTGTTTCTGTATGTCTATAACATGTGTTGTGACGTATATACACGACTATCTCCCCCATAGAATGAAGCTCCAGTTGGGCTTCTCTTTGATGCATTGCTTGGCACATACAAGGTGCTTAAGTAGTCACTAAATGATAATCAGAGCTCTTGAGCAAATGCAGCCCTACTTGAGGAAATGTCAGTGCTTTATGTACCAATTAATTTTCCTCTCAGTGACCTGTAACCATGGAAACGGCGGGTGCCAGCACTCGTGTGAGGACACAGCTGCAGGCCCAGAGTGTAGCTGCCATCCACAGTACAAGATGCACACAGATGGGCGGAGCTGCCTTGGTGAGTGGTGACCCACACACTGGGTGAGGGTCTCCCTCGGCCATCCACAACCTGAATGCAGATATTCTCAGATGCAGGAACTTTCTGGATCATTTGGCCCAAAAGGTCCCACACTCTTTCAAATGTTGCAGTCAGAGTGGTCTAAGCCTGGGGTGGGGGTTAGGGACTGATATCTAGACCCTACTCTGTCCCTTTTTCCTTTGTGACCTTGGAAATCCCTTCCTCATCTCTTGGACCAGACTGCTCCTGACACTGGTGTTCTGCAGACTAAGACAGCACATTCCAAGGGGTGAGGGCTAGATGAAGCTGGAGCTAGCTTTCTGGGATGACACAGCAACTTTTACAGTCAGCAGGAACTAGGATGCCATGCCTTTTGTCAGCTGCGTTTTAGAAGTTTCCAGTCTCAAAGTTTGTTTTTGTCCTGCACTTATACTCCCTAGTGTCTTTTTGATCACTGAAATATGATCAGAACCGTCTTTCCCATATTTAGTGTTTACTGAGGATCTGAGGACTTAACATGCTGTGTTTCCCATAGGGGTTCATTCTAACACATTTTTACTGAGTGAACAGAATCACATATCTTAAATTGTTCTTGTTTCTGGGATTTCAGAAGACGTGGTTGTGCAGGGTATGAATAACTTGGCTCATTCTGTCTGAGAACTGTGCTCTTTTGCTTCTTCTTATAGAGCAAGAGGACACTGCCCTGGAGGTGATGGAGAACAATGCCACGTCAGTGGCAGATGGGGATAAACGAGTGAAACGGAGGCTGCTTATGGGTAGGCACTTCAACCTTCCTCCCCACTCACCAGCATTGTCCCTTTCCCTCCCTAAATTGGTGCATCAGCCCTGAACTGTGGGCCGTCCACTCTGCAGCCAGCTAGATTAGGATGAACAGCTGCTGCCAAGCTTGAGCATGTGTTCTTCTCCTACTGCCAGGGCTCAGTCACCATCTAAGACCCCTGGAATTGTGGAAAGTACGCCAGCCACGTCGTCAGAACAACCGGGCTGATCTCCATCACTGCTCTAACTGTCAGACCTTGAGCAGATTGCCCTGAGATTTCATCTGCTGGCCTGTAAAATGGATTTAATTAAACTTACCTCTGTAAGCTCTTAGGAAACTCAATTAAAATAATAATATGCCAAAGTTCCCAGAGCCTAGTGCCTGGAACTCAGTGGTCAGTTGGGGGACACCAATTTCCTTCCTTCAGAGAGAAGCACTTAGAGAAGCAGCACAATGAGACAGGCCCTTTCAGCAGCCTCTAGCTTAGTGTGGCAATTTATAAATTAAAAAAGAAAAAAAAAACCAGCCACTGTTAGTGGTGGAAGAAATGAATGGAGCAGAGTGACATTTGGCTGTGGGACATGAGGAGGTCTGCCAGCAGGTCCAACAGCTGAGCTAGAGACAAGTGCCAAAGAATAGGCCGTGGGTGTGGTAGCTTGGGCGCAAACAAGTTCTCTGACAGATTCTGGAGGAAGTATAGCCTGACAAAATGGATTTTTTGACAGTTTTACTAGGTTTAATAATCAGGTAAGAAGATTGAGCAGTCATTGATAATCAACAGATAACGTTTTGGATGTCTTTTCTGCCTTTTAAAGTTTATTTTTAGTTGCTTAAAATGCAATATATGAGTAATAGTATATGAAACTCACTAGCAATCTGTGATATTCAGATGACATGACTTTACTTGCTGAAAGTGAAGAGGACTTGAAGCACTTTTTGTGAAGATCAAAGATACCGCCTTCAGTATGGATTGAATCTTAACAATAAGAAAAGTTATCTTTTCATAACTGGACCAATAAGAAACATTACAATGAACAGAGAAAAGACTGACCTTGTCAAACTATCATTTTTCTTGGAATCATAAATAATGCTCATGGCAGCAACAGCCAAGAAATCAATTGAAGTTTTATATAACAATTGGACAAATTGCCTACAAAAGGTCCCTGAAAGTGTTAAAAGGTGAAGATGTCACTTTGAGAGCTAAAATGTGCTCGATCCATGACAGTATTTTCAGGATCTTGTTGAAAAGCAAAACCTGAACAATGAATAAGGACGTTTCAAGAAGAATCGACACATTGGAATTATGGTGTTGGTGATGAGTATTATATGGACTGCCAGAATAAAATCTCTGTGTTGTACAGTCAGAAGAAGTACAGTCAGAAGATCATATTCTTTAGAAGGAAGGATATCAAAACTGTCTTATATACTTTGGACATGTAATGAAGAGGAAGGATGTCATACTTGGTAAAGTGAAAGGTTATACAAAAAAGAGGAAGACTCTCAACAAGGTGAATTAACACTGTGGACCCTAAACGGTTGTGATGATGCCACTATTTTGTTCAAAACTGACTTGACAGCACCTAAAAACAATGCTTAAAAATAGAAAAGCTTAATTAGGTAAACTTAATGCAGTTCCTCATTTCCTTGGCTTTCTCTTTCCTCCCTCCTCATCAAGTGAAGGGCAGCAAGTTTCAATTTTCCTAGTTGTTTCTCCTTCTGATTCTCCTTCATAATTTTTTGGCCAATAAATAGGTGCAGGTATTTTTCTTTCTTTTTAAAATTTTTCAATGTCTTTAGGAGAAAGTTTACAAAACAAATCAGTTTGCTATCCAATAACTTATATATTGATCGTTTTGTGACATTGGTTTTAATCCCTTCACTATGTCAGTACTCTCCCTACTTCTACCCAAAGTTCCATTTCCCCAGCTTTCTGAATTTTACTTTTGGGCAAATATTACACTTCTGATCTTATATAATTGAGTATTCTGAGTAGCATGTTTGTCATGGGTATTACTGTTCTGTTGTTTGGCTATAAGGTGGTCTCAGGGAATGGTTTCAAGTCCAAGTTTGAAGAATTTCTAAGGGATTCTTACTAATCTCTGTTAGACTAGTCAGTCTAATCCCCCTGCCCCTTTTTAATTAGGATAAAGTTTAGTGTATCTTGTGATGTCATATATTTCCTTTCAAGATTATTTTTAATTGCTTTAAAATGCTACATATAAGTAATAATATATGTTGTGTTGTGTGCTGTCAAGTCAAAACTGACTCACAGCTGACTCTACAGTGCAGTTTCAGAGGCAGTTAATCTAAACGCATGGGAGGAGATTGCCCATCTTTCTCCCACGGAGAAGCTGGTGGCTTTGGACTATGTGCCTTCAGGATTGCAGCACAGCTTGCCACTAGGCCAACATAACTCCCTAATAACATATGAGGAAGAATATTAGCAACATGAGAGATTCAGATGATACAACCTTACCTGCTGAAAGTGAAGAGGATTTGAAGCACTTATTGATGGAGATCGAAGATTACGCCTTTGCTCTTCTTTTAAAATTTTAAAAATTTATTTTTCTTTCACCCAATTTATCTGTTTATTAATTTTTGCTCCCTGTTCCCTCCATTCTTAATCTGGCTAGCCCTCCAACATTGATTCTGTCGGTAAACCTTTCCTTGGTTTTTTTTCATATTATTAGTCTTAAGCATAATCATCCTTTTTATGAATTTGAGTTTATTTTACACTTTTCCCTCACTCTATCCAGGATCTTCCATTATCGTCCCAGTCAGAACTGTTGGTTGTGATAACTGACCATTGATTAGCTACTCTGCTTTTACGTTAATAGAATCTGTGGTTCACATAGTCGTTAGTCCTTTGGACTAATTGCTTTTTTGATACGTTTGTTTTCTCCTCTCTTCTTTATTTAAAACCAAACAGGAAGAAATCCTTTGGTCACTTGCAAGCTTTTAAGACTCTAGTTGCTACTCATCAAAGTAGATGTAGAACATTGTCATTATGAACAATATTCTGCCAATTGACTTAGATGTCCCTCAAGACCATGATCCATAAACCTCAAGATCTTAACTTGAGAGGATTTTTTTTAATATGGAATACGTCACAAATTTGTATGTCCTTCTTGCACAGGGGCCATGCTAATCTTCTCTGTATCATTCCAATTTTTAGTGTCTGTGCTGCCAAAGTGAGCACATTACTTGAGGTTTTGCGAGGTGTTTCTTAATACTGAGTTTTCCAGACTGTGCTCCCTAAGTGTTCTGTTACGTGCTACACTTACAAATATGTATGTAAAATAGCCACTGCTAACTCTATACATGCACATGGATGCTCTTCCATATGCTGTCCCACACCTGTTCAGTTTATCAATCTATTTATCCACTCCATAGGTGATAAAAATGATCATTTTTTTTACTGATGTTGCAAGATGACCTATATAATTGTAATTGCCGTTGTGCCTTTTACTTTTGCATACATCTCAGTGCCTTCTATTTTCCTTAGTGATGTTGTGCTGGCTTTTGATGTGCCACCTTTCCCTTTAACATATGTCTAGCATCTGGTTAGTGACTTTTCTCTCCATCCTCCTTTCCCTGGTAACCAACAAAGGATGTTTCTTTCTGTAGAAAAATATTTTCTTGACTTTTTATAACACTGACCTCATAAAGTATTTATCACTTTATGACTGACTTTTTTGACTCAGCACAATATCCTGCAGATTCATCCATGTTCTCATATGTTTCTCAGATTTTTTCTTTAATGTGTATTCGATTACAGTTTGTTCACATGTTGTTTCTGTCTTTTTGCTCTTGTGAATAATAGTGCAATGCACACAGGTATGTATACATCTATTTGTATCATGGCTTTTCTTTCTCCAGTGTATATACCTAGGAGTGGACTTGCTGGATCATATAGTATTTCTAACTTTTTTTAAGAAAGTGTCATATCTTTTCCCCACAGTGATTGTATCATTTTACATTCCCAAAAGTAATGTATGAGAGTTCTATATCTCCACAACCTAATCAGCATTTGGGGTTTTTTTTTCCTGGTTGTTTTTTTTTGTTTGTTTGTTTTTACCAGTGTAGTTATTGCTGGAGTGAGATGGTATCTCATTGTAGGCTTGATTTTCATCTCTCTAATGGCTAATCATTGTGAGCTTTTTCTCACGTATTTGTTGGCTGCCTGAATGTCTTCTTTGGTGAAGTGTCTGATCATGTCCTTTGCCCATTTTTAAATTGAGTTGTCTTTTTGTTGTTGAGGTCAGATATTTTTTTAAAATTCTCTTTAGAAAGTGCTCATTAATGGAAAAATTTATTTCTCTTCTATCAGCATCAAAGCACAAGGAAGAATTCAAGATACTAAAGAGCTGAACAGAAGATTCCAAAAGGCTGCTCGGAATGACAAAGCAAAATACTACAAGGAAATGTGCG